TAGTTTCAATACATAATATTAAACTTACCCAAATTATTGAACTTAGTTTTCACGGTTGATATGTATGAAAAAGTTCATGTTTATGTCTATTTAGGACATTTTGTGCCGTTAATAGGTAAAAATACAAATTTGGACAAATTGTTCTATTTTAACAATTTGGATAGCTCTAATACATGATATTAAACTTGTCCGAATAATTGAACTTGATTTTCAAAGTTGATATGTGCGAAAAAGTTATCGTTTATATCTGTTTAAGACTTTTTGTGCTGTTAAAAGGCAAACATGCAAATTTGTTGTTGTTGTTCTATTTTAACAGTTTGCATAACTTCAATACATGATATTAAACTTGTTGGAATAATTTAACTTGGTTTCACAGTTGATATGTGTGAAAAAGCTAATGTTTACGTCTATTTAGGATATTTTATGCCGTTAAAAGGCAAAATGAAAAATTGATATTATTGTTCTATTTTAACAGTTTTGATAGCTTCAATATATGATATTAAACTTATCTAAATGATTGAACTTGATTTCTACGGTTGATATGTGTGAAAAATTTATCGTTTATATCTATTTAGAACTATTTTTGCCATTAGAACGCAAAAATAAAAATTTGCTATTATTAATCTATTTTAATAGTTTGGATGGCTTCAATACATGATATTAAAATTTTTCGAATGATTGAACTTGGTTTCCATGATTGATATATGTGAAATGCCCAAATGCTTTTATTGTTTAAGTTTGTTTAAGATTTTTGTGCAATTAAAGGCCAAAAATATAATTTTACAATTATATTTTTATTTTAACAATTTAAATAGATTAAATATATGATATTAAACTTATTCAAATTTTTGAATTGGATTGACGGCTCGATATGTATGAATAAGTTACGGTTGATATGTATTTAACAATAACATATGTTTTTATATAAGAGATTGAGATAAGTTAAAAAATTGGACGTGTAGAACTTTTTCGATTAACCTACACAAAAAAAAAAAAAAAATCTTACCTGAATGTCAAAACATAAAAAATTGTATTAATTTGTTACATATGTTTTATACAGAAAGTAAATATTTACTATTCTAAACATATCATGAATTAATCATTAAACTTGATAGTTTTATCTGATTAATTTATAGGAGAAAGTGAAAAAAAAATGGCTACTGAGATTGAAGTAGCATCTGATGGTTATGTCAATATACAAGAATTAGAAAATTGGATTTTCATAGATGTTGCTGGAAAAGAAAGACATGGACGGGTCTGAGGCCTTGGATTAGGTCCAACACCATCTAGCTATTATGGACATAGCTCTTAGCAATTTACATTCTTAGCAAGTTAGTTTTAACGAGACATTTTCATATTGAGAGAGGAGTTACAAACTATGCAACAATATTTTCAGCAAATAGAAGCAAAAAGAAAATATGAGTGAGCTAAAATTGAAGAATGTGCTAGAATTGATCAAGAGCGCGCAAAATTTCATCAGTTGCGTGATCGATTCGATACTTTTATGAATTTTGTGCAACAATAATTTTCAAGAACTAATTTAGGTGGTCCACCAACTCAGGTATTATATTTAGTAACTATTTATATTTTTTTAATATAAAAAATAGGTTATTATCAAGTGTGAAAACTTTTATGATATTATTCAATAAGTTTTTGAGCATGCTAGTGACCAAAGTGAAAATAATCCTTCATCAAATGACAGTATTTTATAATAATGATGTCATCAATTTCATACATTTTAAATTTTTTTGTTAATGTACAAAATAATTTAAATGTTATTGCATGTATTATTAAATTTTGTGTTACATGCATATTTAACAAGTTATGTATTTATAATATTCAGTTTATGAATTTAAGTTTATTTTTATTTCTTTTAACATTTTTATTTAATGATAATAATAAATATAAAAAGAAATTTTAAAAAAAATAAATTTCTTACTTTTACGGCATTTGTGTTAAAAAATACCACTAAATTCAAAATTAGTGACATTTGTAACATAAAAAGTCACTAAATTTAGGGGTATTTTTCTATACAAACACAGCTAAATTAGCGATATTTTTCTATACAAACGTTTGTAATTTAACCGCGTTTTCTGATATAAATGTCACTAATTTTACGGTAATTGTTCTTACAAATGCAAACGCCTCTAAATTAACGATATTTTTTTAAAACAAATGTCACTAAATTAACGACAATTGTGCTTACAAAAACTACTAAATTAGTGGCGTTTCATATAAAATGTCGTTATTTTCTTCGATGCGGGTATAACCGATACTCTTAGTAACATTTTTGGTAAATGCCACAAATATTTTAGTGACATTTATAAATACTACTAAATCTTAAAAAAGAAAAATGTTACTAAAAATCTAAATCTCTGTAATATATATTTTTCGATGTAAATATATCAATACTTTTAATGACGGTTTTTATGAATGTTAAATAATTTCCAAAAGTGTTACGCATACCAAAAATTTGATAAAAATTTGATAAATTAGTAAAATGAAAAAACATTGCAGTAACTTCTAGGAACGAATTATAGACTTAACAGGCAACTTCAGGAGAATTTTAGTCAAGAACAAATCTGCATGCCAATCCCAATTACCCGTTGCGATTCTCACTCTTTTCCTTCCCTATATCTCAATCTGCTATCAAATTCCAAACTCAATTTGACAAAAAAAAAAAAAAAAAAACAGATTATCAAGACTCGATTGATAATTCTACATCCATCTAAATAAGGTTTTGGACAACTAAATCTTCTAGTAATTAATTCATTACTATTAAAAACAGACCTGTGGACTAATCAAAGCCGACTAAGATTATATTCAAAGAAATTGGATTTGTTAAATTCATTGTGTTTATTGTGAAGCAAGTTTTTATCTGTGATTAGTGTTTTTTTATAGTGTAAAATATTAAAATTTATATATTTATATTATTTTTAACTCAAAATTATATATTATAATTCATATGAATATTAAAATTTGAAATATATTTTTAAATTTTATTAAAATTAATACTAAAATTTTAAATTTTATTATCTCAATATTTTTTTATATTATATTCTCATCTTATCATTGCATAATCTTTTAGATTACGAAGTCACTTTTATGCGAATTTGATGGCTTCTTCTGCGAGTCAACTACTACGAAACTGCTGATCCAAAATTCACCTTAAAATCGAGTTTGGATGAATTGAAAAAGCTGGTGTTAGCCCTTTTCCTGGGCCACCCAACCTCCATATTTTCTAAAGTCAGGTTCAGATTGGGCCTAGTTTGCCCAACCAAATCCAAAGAAGTAAGCCTAATTTATGTGTATAATAACGTAGACATAAAGTAATTGATAAGAAGATAAACCATGCAAGGTTAGTCAAGGAGAAAATATGGGACAATATTTTTGGGGTCACATTACTTTCCGAGGTTGCATCCAATTTGAAAGTAAAGAGCTGAAGAGATTGGACAGTTCTATAATCAAAGCTTGTATCTCACCTTTTTTAAGCTTGTAAAAAAAAGTAGAGGTTTTAATTTGGAGATGAATACGGTACGATTTATAAAAATGAAAGAGAATTATTTTTTATATATAAATTTGAGAATTATATGTATCAAAAAATTTTGATTTAATATATTGATTTAGCCAATTATTATAAGTTTAACAAACTTATTAAGTATTATTTTAAGAATAACAATGGAGTGAATATTTTTTATTTTTAAGATATTCGTATTCGAATTTATTTAATTTTAATATCGTTATCTAAATTTGAATCCATTTAAATAACTAATATTCGTTTAAATATATGAATCTATTAGAATATTCATTTATTTAATTTTTTGTCAAAATATAAAATAAAAAATAATTTAATTTAAAATTCAAGTTCACTTTTAATTAATAATAAATAAAAATTATTTTTTAAGATTTAAAACCTTCTAGAAGTATACAATTTTATATATTTTATATATGTAAACGGGTAATGAATTCGATACAAATTTGAATATCCATTATTATTTACTAAAACTTTAACAAATTTGGATTTTAGATATCCATGAGATATTATTCGTATCCTCCCGAATCCGTTACGAATAATAAATTTTTTATCTGAATCCATTAATTATCCACTTATAACTATTTGAATTCAATATAAACGAATCGAATAATAATAGATATTCATTTATTTACTATTCATTGCCATCCCTAAACTGTTTACTTAAGACAATAAAGCTCACTACTAATTAAATTTTTAATAAATTCAAGACTTAATTCAGTTGATTTACATAATTATCCTTAAAATGTGACATTCAATAAATATGAAATTTAAATCCTAATACTTTCAACTCATTTTCCTATCTTTATACTATGATCTTTTTTGTAAAAAAATATCTCAACTAAATTAGATTAAGGTTGTCAATCATGATTGCTTTACTTATGAAGCCAATTAAAAGGCAAGATATAAAACTTTAATTAATTTGCATAACCATGCAAAATGTAAATAAAATATCATTTCATTTTACTCATTTACCTCTCATTGACTCTAACCATATGTTAAAAGTGTTTCTTTCTTATAATAAGTCCTTAACATGGATGAAGAAAAAGATTGTATTGTGTATTTGACCATCAACATAATATATTGTCAATTCTCTATAGCAGGAATAGTATCAATGATGCCTTAAATATAGTAATTGGGAGAGGAAAATGATAAAGAATCCAAAATAAAATAGGTTGAACAAATGGGTGCTTACAATTACAAGTATTTTCAAGTTTTGTTTGTGCTTAATTTTTTAGAGGAAAATAGTTCAAATAATCCTAATAACACACGAAATCTTTATTATTAAAATTCTCATTATTACTTTTGTCTTTTCTTTTCAAATTTCGAATCATTGAACTCAAAAAAAAAACATCATGCTAATGTGTTAGAGAAAGAAATTATTGAAGTAGATTTAATCCACTAAACCCATAAAAAAAAAAAAAAACCATAAGATATGGGTAATTAAAGATACATGATTTTGTTAAATTTTTTTTCTAACGGTTCGCAGCTCAAGCTTAGATGTTAGAAAGAGACGCAGATAAAGAGAATGAAAGAATATTATCAAACATCTAAGAATAAATATTAATTAAATAATTTTTTTCTTAAAGAAAATTATATATTGGAAAGAAGAGCTGCGACAGATTAGATAATAATGTTGCTCTGAGCAGCTTCCAGCTTCCCTCATTGGCCAACCTTCTTAAAGCTTTCACCATTGCCATCTGTACCTATTCCACAGCCAAGCAAACTGTCTTTATATTATCAGTTTTTTTTTAATATATTTTAAATAAAATGTAATAAAAGAATTGTCCTAAAATTTATGTAAAAATTAAGGCCATAATTAAGTTTGAACAACAATTTGATTCAAAATATTAATCCCAACCCAACCCCAGCACATGGGTTTCTAAAAGAGCCAGTCGGCAGTGGACCCAAATCACCCAAAACTCAATCAGGGTTTCATGTGACACAATGATTCATTCATTCGACATGGCACTTACTAAAAAAAAAAAAAAGAAAGTTAAAAGGAATAAGGTAAAGGTGAGGATGTTACCATGTGAGTCACCATGATGAAGGATCAATGGAGTGTTACCTGAATTGGGAGCAATTGCTACAACAGGTTTTGACATGATAGCAGCAGCTGGGATTGTGGATGTTGGTTGGAAGATGTGGGGAGCTACTGGTAATCCCATTGTTTGTGATTGATGGTAGTGATAGAAAGGGTACATTGGCATCAATGTGTTTGCACCTACAATAGCCTGCCCTGCTGGATACACTTGAGAGAAATGCCCATTCATGTTCATGTAGGATCCTCCACTGTAGCTTAGCTTCTGTTTGCACCAATCATTCACCATTTTTTTTTTAATTTTTTGCAAAATTATTTAGAGAGTAGAGACCAAATAAAGGAAAATTTGGCAAATTTGCTACGTTTTTTGGACTACTAAGTCATTGACCAGGAAATTTGGCTTCACTGATTGATTCTGATAATCAGATCTTGGATGGATTCACTTAAAATAAAGAAAATTACAAAATTTTAACATTTATTGTCAATTTGGGACCACTTAATCGTAGGGTAATGCAAAATTAAAAAAAAAAATCGAACTAGGAATTTGTATGTGATTGTGAAATCACATGATGCATTACAGACTGCAATCCCAGATGAAAAAAACCCACTTACATGGTTGTAGCTGATATCCGCGGCAATGTAGGTGGGAGAGTACCTGAAACAATTGAAGAGATAATTATAAGATACGGTAAAGTCTACTCTAGTTCCATACACCGTAAACAAAATCAACGAATTAAATGGCATATACCCAAAAAAAGGAACGGCCTGATGATGTTGATGAGGAAACAGCGACGCTGGTATCCTCGCTGGGTAATACCACTGCACATTGGCTGGTGCAGCTGACGTGGCCCTCGATCCAACGTTTGATCCTCCATGGTCGAAAACTCCAAATTAGACCCCATGATGCTCATATTTACAGAAATGCCATCAGCATCTTTTTTTTATAAGATGCCAAATTCTAATTAATTTATGAAGACGCTTGTAGAAATATATATATTTTTTAATTTACAATTGTAATTAAATATTATATTCATATAATAGATTCAATAATCAATTATTTTATAATAATTAAATTATAATTATTAAATAATCAATTAATAAATTAAAATATAATTAAATAAGTAAACTCACACGTTAAAATTTGAATATAATGCCTTAGTCTCTACACATATTGATAATGCATTGAAAGTAAACTTTATACGTGTAAATACCTTGTTGTTGCAGCGGAGGAGCAGAGGCGGACCTCGGGCGGCGAGTACCGAGGGAGGCAAGGTTGCAGTTGGCTCGGCGGCCATTGATAATAGGAGTGGCATCCTCACAAGCTTTCTTAGCAGCTTCAGCATCCTTATATGTAACCTGATCAAAACACTCAAAAAAGTTTAAAAAAAAAAAAACTTGCTAGAAAAAAAAATCAGCTGCAATGCAACCTGTGAGTGTATTTGAGTGACAACAGAACTTACAAATCCATAGCCCTTGGATCTGCCGGTGAGTTTATCAGAAATAATGACAGCTTCAAGGATCTCACCATACTTCTCAAAATGCTCTCTCATGGCTTCTTTGGGAGTCTCCCAAGCTAACCCTCCAACGAAAACTTTCGTTAAAGTTGTGTCACCAAATTGCCCAATATTGTTACTCATAGTCATTGTTCTTGCCAAAAAAACAAAAGAAAACCCCTTTTCCTTAACTAAATACTATGACTAAGTTGAAGAAATTGTTGCAAAAAATAGAAGGCTTTTGGGTAGAGAGAAAAAGGAAAGGAAAAAAAAAAGGAGTGGAACCCAAGAAGGGAATAGGGAGGAAGGATGAGAATATAAGGAGGAAGACAGGTTGAGAAGAAAATAAAGAAACGAAGAAAAGCAAAAAGGAGACAGAGAGGCAGCGATAACAGGTAGACATAGGGTTAAGTACATTATCAACGTGATAACACATTATACGCAATTCTGTTAAATACTATATATCCACGCTTAACCTTTTATCTCTTAGCTGGGTTGAGTTGAGTGTTGCTTCATTTTAGATCTGAATTTATGGGAATTTCTTTCAAAAGTAAAAGTTGAAGATATATAAATATATTACATATATTCTTTATATTTGATTCCAACTTCTAAATTTTATTGTTTTGTTTGAATTCCAGCTTGCGTGTGTTTTAACTATATATTCCCATAATTAACTTTAATAAGAAAGTTACTTACCCACATTGTCACGTAAATGCTACCATAACACTATTTTAAAGTGCTAAAAACAAAAGAAAGAAATAAAATAAAATTGTATTAAATTCCCACTTAGTAAAATTATTAAGGCCATACTAAACAAGAAAAAAAATCCCATGCATGTTAATCATTTTACAAATTAAAGTGCTTTGGCTGCAACTCAAAATCCACTTATAAAAAATAATTATATTTATAAATTTATTATTTTATTTTATTTTATCCATAAAATTTATGTAACTTTAGATTAACATTTTTTTTTTTTTTTTTTAACTCCTTTCTATGATCCATCTTACCTTAAAAAGCTTTTAAAAGACAAATAAAAGCCGTACAACAAAACGGAATGGGAGCTGCAAAGTTATACGAATTTTGACGCACGCAACATGAAATTCCTAAGAAGTGGTTTTGGAGAAGGGATTATATGCTGTTCGTACCCAATTTTATCAAATTTGCATTCACGTCTAAACAAAATCCAATTACTAAAATGTCATATTATTAATTAAAAATTTTAAATAAAGTGAAGTTCTTAAATTTCATCCATGATAGTATAAAATTATTGCATATCTCATTAAAGTATTTAAAATAACTAATAAATTAATTATAACCTTTTATAATTATGAATAAAAATTTTTAGTGAATGATTAAACACAATTTATGTCATCCATTGCAATATCTCCCACTGCCTTTTTTCTTCTTCTCTTTCTCTCTTTACTAAAATTCCAAAAATTATTGCAAGATCTTATAATTGAATTTGGATGCATTTTATAGGATATATATATATATATATATATATTGATATATATATATATAGAAGAGATTGGATCTTAAATTTCTAACTTATTTTATTGAAGGAGGCAATGTGTTGTTAATTGTAACCTTTAACAGTTTAAAAAAGATTCTCCATCAAACTCAAAAGGGGTGAAATGATATAAATAAAAAAATTTGAAAAAGTATGAAAATATTTCATTTTGTAAAACCAAAATGCCAAAAATGAGAAAGTGCCACCCTTACATAATTTTATACTTTTTGATAAATTAATTATAAACAATTTCAATATTTTCATGTATAATGATAGATTGTACAAATAATTATCATTCCTATCATATTAGTGCAAGTTCGATAACTTAAATGAAAATGTAATAATAATTCTTAACTTTTAAGTAGTTTTTGATATCTTTTGTAAGATCATCGTATTAATATAACCACTAAAATAATCTTATGACAAAGATGATCCAGACGTAATATGAATTTACTTTATTTAGTTAATAATCATTAATACTTAGTAATTAAATATTATTGAATTTTATATTACTAAAAATCAAATATTATTTTATTTAAAAGTATGAAAATAATTATGCTTATTATTATGGTTATGTAAGCTAATGATTTTAATATTATTTAAAGATAATAATTTTTAAAATATTTGTAATATTTTATTTATTTTATAATAAAATATATTAATTTATTAAATTAATAAATATATTTATTGATAAATAAAATAATTTTCATAATATAAATTATGTAAAAAATATTTTAATTAAAAAATAAAACGAATCTATTAAATTCATAATAAAAGAAAAATAAAAAGATTACATTATATATAAAATATTAAAAGAACATACAAATTATTTTCGAATTTATTACAATAAATATTAATTTAAGATATATTATAATTTTAAAAAATAATAAGTTTTTAATTCATATATTAAATAGATAATATTAATTATTATTAATTTTATTTATCATTTCATCTTGTGATAAAAATTCTTATTCTTTTGGATGAAAATTAAATTAATTTTTAAAATAATAATTTAATCATCTCAATGATATAAAATCATCGTCAAATACAATTATGAGTATTTTTTTAAATATAATAATATAATCATTATATATAAATTTTCATGACTTTTAAAAATGTCACCCCATATCATACATTATCTTAACGAATATATTTTATTTGTTTTTTTAGGTTTGCGTAGTAAATTTTCTCTTTGTCTAAAAGCCCTCTGTTAGGATAATTTGATTAAAGAAAAGGTTTGAATTTCTATGGGCTAGGACATCTTGTTATAATGGGAATTTTATTAAAAGGGCAGCAGCCATACGTCAGAAACGTCTGAGGGCTGAGGGTCATCAACATGAAAGATGATGATCACGTGAGGGTCCCACTCCTTTCCTAGTATGTGTGTGGGGCCCAGTTTCCAAATGCAATTTTAAATTATTGATTAATCCATCGCTTACCCCTACGAAATCTCTTGGTAGTCATCTGTCAAAAGTCCTCAATCGCATTGCAAGTAACAAATCACTGTGTACTAAATTGCTGATTATTCTTTTGTCGAGTACAGGTGTTTACGGATTGGGAATTTGGATTAAAAATGATTGACATTAAGACTTATTTGGTTAATCCATTTATGTTGATTTATTGTAATTTATAATTGAAATATTAAAAATAAAATAGTCTGCATAAAGCAAATAAAATCTTTGCTTTTAATGTCATTTGAAATAATAACAAAATTTATTTACCAATTCTTAACAAATCTTTAAAGATTTACTTCTTGATTTATTTTTAAATTGTTGATTGATTCTTTTTGTCTATAAATATAACACTAGAATTGCTTACAAAATTTCATACTCTTCACTTTTAAGATTTGAGAATTTAAGATGTTAGTAAAGTATTATTTCACATTTAATAAATATTTAATTTATTGTAATTTTATATTCAAGTTGTATATCTTCGCTTACTATCGATTGATTTTAAATTTGATGCCAAACATGAAATTAAAGTCAGAATTTCTGACTATTACCTTTTCCAAATCTAATACACCACCTACATGTGATGTAAGCTTGTTAGTAAAGTGTTATTCCATATTTAATGAACATTTAATTTCTTATAATCTTCTATTCAAGTTGAGTTTTTTTACTTATTGTCAATTGGTTTTAAGTTTGATACTTAATATAATATCATAGTCAAAATTGTTTTCTATTACTCTTTTCAAATTTATCATGTGAAAGACATTTTTCATCTTTATTTACATGTAATGGGATCTATTAGTGTGGTGTTATCTCATATCTAATAAATATCGAATATCCTATAATCTTATATTCAAGTTAGGCCCCTCAACTTATTGTTAATTAGTTTTAAATTAAATGTTTAATATGATATCAGAATCAGGATTTCTTTCCGTTGTCCTTTCCAAATCTATCACATGATAATACTTCTTTCATCTTCGCCTACACATGATAGGGTTTATTAAAGTGATGCTATCCCACATCCAATAAATATCTAATTTCTTAGTCTTATATTCAAGTTTGATCCTTTTACTTATTACCAATTGATTTTAAGTTATATGTTTAACATAACAGAGAGAATTTTTACTAAATAATTAAGATTTTGACTTCTTGTTTTTTTATCTATGTATGTATTATTTATATTGCACATATTATAGTCCCATCTGTTAGAAATATGATTCAAACTCATCAACCCTAATTAGGAATGATATATATACTCATATAAATGTACCAATAGATTTGGATTCATTTAATTCAACCCATATTCCAAAGATTGGATTTCAAAGGATTTACCTAAACACATTGTTTGTTTCTTGATTTTAATATGGGTTCCATAATATACATATATGTATATATATGATCCAAAAATAAGAGGTCCTCTAGAAATGTTATGAGTTATGATTTTTGTTTCTTATTTGATTATATCTATCTAAAAAATAAATTTATATGTGTTGAAGAACAAAAGATGCATAATTAAAATAGTCAAAATGAAATGAACGATCAAAGGAGTGATTTGAGAATGATGAATGTAAAGGTTTATTTTTAGTCGGTTGGAGAATCTTCATAAGAGAAAGTAATTGGATGCACGACACTTTTATTACTGGAAATTTCAATGTCTTTGTCTCTAAAATTTGTTAGTTTACAAACCCATGTGATTAAAAAAAAAAAAGTGGATTTGGATGGAAAATCAATGGCATGAATGAAGGAACGCCTAAATTACCGGCACATTTTGTTGAAATAAAATATGTTTTTAATTGGTTTTAAGGCCTTGTAAGTAATTGTAACATAAAATTAATGCAAACGCGTTTTTGGTTAGATGTCATAAAGAATGTTCAATGTTCACCAAATAATAATAATAATAATAATAATAATAATAATAATAATAATAATAATAAAAGAGAAGAATGTTGATTTTTTTCCCCAATTATATAGTTTGGATTTATCTTTAAACCTTCTTTCTGATACATTAGGGTGAAGACTTGTTATCTTAATGGTCAATCAACTTTTCCGTAATGATAAGGCAAAGTACTTCATTAGGTCTTTCCATTAAATTAATTCAAAAAGAAGCCAATATTGTCACGTTTATTACGAGGTTAATTTAGTTTTTGTGTTATCCTCAAAAAAAAAAAAAAAAGGTGCTGATTTAATGATTTTTCATTAGAGTATCTCTCATTATGTTTATAAGAATTTGAGGATATTTTTTCGACTTTAAGTTTTTGAATTCAAGTGTGATTGTAAATTATTATATATATTTGAAACAATGTTAAATAAAATGGATCATTCTAGTTTAATCCTTAAAATATTATTGAATTTCCAAATATGATCCTAAATTAACAAGGCACGGGGAATTATGAGTTCAACTAAAAAAGTCAAGACTTATTTTATATATATATATATATAATGGATTTTTTGAATTATTAATTTTAGTGGAACAGATTTTTGAATTATTAATTGGCTGGGATTTATTATTTTTTATTAAATCCACATTGATCACGAAGCTTTTTTTGAATTA